GGATGGATGGATGGATGGATGGATGGATGGATGGATGGATGGATGGACGGATGGATAGAAGGATGAATGGATACATAGATGGATGAATGGATGGATAGAAGGATGGATGGATAGATAGATATAAGGATGATAGATGGATAGATAAAAGAGATATATAGATATGTATATACACTTGTACTAAGTATATATGTACTTAGTATATATAATGTACATTTATATATGTAAAATATATATATACAATAGATATTTATATGGACAAAAATATTTATAACCGTTCCTTTTAGTGGTTGCAAAGAACTGGGAACCAAAAGGATGACCCCCCTCTTGGGGAATGGCTAAACAAAAGGTGGTATATGAAGGTAGTGAACTTTTACTGTGCCACAAGGAATGGATGCAATGGACAATTTCAGAGGAAACTGGGAATCTATGAACCCATACAGAAAGAAGAGAACGATTTATCCAATGATAACAACATTACAAAGAAAATCAACTTTGAGAGACTTTAGAGCTCTGATCACTGCACTGATAAAGCATGAGTCTAGAGGACTGCAGATGAAACACGCCATTCCCCTGGTGCTGGGGAGGTGATAAAACTTAAAATCCAGAGAGATATTCATTTGCAGGCATGGCAAAGGCTGGGATTTGGCTTGCTGGCCCATACATGCTTAGGATGAAGATTTTCTTTCAGGGTGGTTTTTGTTTCTGCAGTTATTCAGTGTGGGGGAGGGCAGAATACATGCAAAAATAAATTTATTTAAAAAAAAACCCTTTATACGTGCATGTTTTCCCCCAGTAGAATGTAAGCTCCTTGAGGGCAGGAACTATGTTGTTTTTGTCTTTGTCTCCCCAGCACCTCGAATAGGGCCTGGTACCAATGTTTGCTGAATTTAATTGAACGCTAGGATGAGAAAATCGTGGACCGGAGGCATCAATTGACTTTCTCAAGGTCCAGAACCAGTAAGTGACAGAACCAGGCCAAGTCTCCTTTCGTTACTCTACACCCCATACCCTTCTCTGCAAGTTAGGACCAGGAATACTCGGGGAAAGAACCTCCCCACCCAACGAGGAAACCAAAGTTCTCACCCTGCCAATGTCCAAGCAGCAGGTCTAGGTCCAGGGCCAAGCTCGGGCCAGCCCCCAACACCCACAGACAGCAGAGCACCAGCAGCAGCAGGGAGGAGGCCAGGGGCAGCCCTCGGACCATCTGGATCATCGTGACCCGTCGTTCCCTGCTGGGGGCCATGGCTCCCAGGACTGGACTCTGGCTGGACGGAGGGAAGGCTGGCAAGGCTCCCTAGCCGGGCAGTTCAGGGCCAAGTAGGTGCCAGGGCTGGCTGCTAGGAGCAAAGAAACAAAAACTCTCAGTCCCAGGAGAGATCCCGGCACCACCACCCCTGCCCAGCCCAGCCCAAGTTTGCCTCAGTCTCCTCCTTTGTAAAATGAGGTGATTATGAGATGGCTTAT